ATGATTCATTTAGTATAATCATTAAATCTGTTGCAGATAAAATAACTGAACAATTAATACAAATAATTGAATCACAGTTAATACAGCCATGGTCAACATTGGCAGTTAGCAGTGTAACAGATAGTCTTTCAAAGAAAATTCAAAATAATTACTTGGTTAATAAAGATCAAAATTCAGATAGTCAAAATGAGGATCAAAAGAAATATGATGAACTTAAAAATAAAACATATTTAACAGAAGAAGATAAAATATTTATGAAAAATTATGGAAAATATAGAACATTTACTGAACAAATTAATTATAATTCGAAAGATTATTGTATTGCATATGAACAATGCGAAGTGGCTTATTATGCACAGACGTTCGAGGCTATGAAAAATGGTAAACAAGTAAATAAAGAAATACAAGAGCTTGCTGATGATGTTAGAAATAATAAAGCTGCTAGTATGGCCGAAATAAGTCTTATAGCCAAAAAATATGGCATTAAGCTAAAAGTAGTTGCTGATAAAAATTATCAAAGAACACAAAAAGAAATAGATGATGGTGTTGAAGTTATATATGTAGAAAAAGGCAGTAAAGATGACAAAAATGCTGATCAAGTTGGACACGCTTATTACATAGATATGAATGGAAACTGCTATGATGTGGAAGCTAAGCTAAACGATTGTTTTTATGGAGTTTTTAGTAAAATATTAGAAACAAAAGGCATAAACAAATCTATAGAGAATATTCGTAATGAAACAGCTGATGTTATTCAATCAAATGCAAACTATTCGAAAGTAATGGAAGCAGAAGCATGGATATGTGATCGGTATCCTCAAGCGGCGAATAGTCTATTATTTAGTGCTGGAAAAAAAGACAACAAGAAAAACTTTACAGTGTCTGCAAAGGGTACGTATCTATCTGACAAGTTTCTTAGTTATAATGAACCGATTGCTTGATGTATACGTATGTATGGACATATAACTCTTTGCTTTGTAGCCCCCGATACTTCCCGTGGTTATTCTGGCGAGGTGGATAATATTGAAAAAGCCAATGATGAAATCACGAAAGCAATAATTGGTCATTTAGACGAACTGACTGGTATTGAAGGACTACCAGGTGTTGCTCTTACTGAGATAAAAAAACAACTCAAAAGTTCGAAACTTTTTACAAAATTTCATGAAGATGCCACAGAAGAAAAAAAAGTTGTACAAGTTGATTTTGAATTTGAAGGTGAACGAGGTAATAAACAGGAGTGGAAGCTCAAAATAACAATCGATTTTGATAAGCCACCAGATAAAAAGCCGCACATGGGTTATGAAGTTCACTTACATGACAAGAAAATAAAAGTAGGACATGCATCTGTGCGTAATGACAAGGGGACCATTGGTAGGCCCCCACCACGCGACGCTGATAAAATGCAGGAAATTCCAAACAATAAGAACCGCGCAACTAAATTTGATATGCCCGAAAACAGTGGTGAAACCAAATTTAAGACAACAGGTGGATCAATGAGATGGAAATTTACACCAAAGAAATCAAACGCCTGATTGATTTTTCTCTTCTTATTTGACACTTTTTTTCAGTTGATTTCACATTTATACCTAGGTATAGACAAACATTATAGATTGATATTGATTTTCATATGTAGTTCGTTCTCGATAAATAAACTATATTATCTACACACTATATTGAGGGTGAGGGTGAGTTCAAAATCAATTTATCATAACGCATTTCGGCTTCAATTTAAGTTTTCAAATCTCAAGGGTGAGGGTGTGAGAATAGCTACCATAATCCAGATTTCACTGCAGCAATGCAGATCATCAGATGGCAAATGAATTCTTGAATTCACTCCACCAACAATAATTTGAAGAGATCCTAATGCAGCTACAGCTATTACACTTCTCCAAGGAATAAATCGTTTCTCATTTATTTCAATCATATATTCAATACCTTTTGTTGTGAATTCATTGAGTTCAAGAGTAGGTATAGAACCTTTCGTAT